AAGGACTTGAAGTTCATAAGTTGATTCTATTTGATTTTGGGTTGTGATTCTCAGTTTTAATGTTATTTTCCACGTTCCGAGGGTTCGAGCGAGTCCGTTTCATGTCACAAACTTATTGGTATATTTGGTCGAGGACTCGGGGACCCCGTATAGGATTCGGAGGGTCTTCGGAGCTTGTTTGCTATTTGGAGAAGAGCTGTTGGTGCCTTTCATCTGGTGCGTTCGCACCTGCGGTGGAATGACCGCAGAAGTGGCACCGCAGATGGGTCACCTCGCTCGCAGAAGCGGAAAGAGGAGGGGTCAGCGAACTCCGCAGAAGCAAAGCATTTCCACAGAAGTGAATTCCGCAGAAGCGAAGCATTTCCGCATAAGCAAACTCGCTTCTGCGATGAATAGGTCCGCAGATGCGGAGAGAGGCAGCCTGGCCATGGTCGCAGGTGTGCGAGGCGAGCCGCAGAAGAGGGCTCACAGATACGGGACTTGGCCGCAGGTGCAAGGGGTCAGGGGTCATGCGTGTTCCACAAATGCGGACAGTTGACTGCAGAAGCGGTCCCGCTGAAGCGGAGACCCTTGCGCAGGTGCGGAAATACCGCTGGGGAGAAGGGTTGCATTTAAGGCGAGACTTAGGCTCATTTCTTCATTTCTCTCACTTGTTGGTCGAATATAGAGCTATTTGAGGAGAGATTTTCACCAAGCACTTTGAGGTAAGTGATTTCTATGCAATATGAGTTTAAAACATAGATTATGGGTAGATTTTAACATATAAAATTTGTAAAAATTATAGGTTTAGTTGGAAAACCTAGGTTTTGGATAAAATGGGATTTAGCCATGGAAATGGTTATGAAATTGGGCAAAAATTATTCGTTAGGTTATGGGTAACATTTATCTTTGAAAATTTCCGGAATCCGGGCACGTGGGGCCGAGGCTGAATTTTAGGAATCTTCCAATTTGGGTTGGGTAATTACTCTAATAGTTAAATTATGAACTTTTGAACATGTATTGATTAATTTATATAACATTTTACTAGTTTCGGATTGTTCGACACCGATTTGAGGCTTTAGAACAAATTTGTGGGCCGAAAAGTGAGCTTTGAGACGAGGTAAGTCTCTTGCCTAACCTTATAAGAAGGAATTTACCCCATAGATGATTTAAATTACTATTTGCTGCTAATTGTGGGGGCTACATACGTACGAAGTGAAGAGAGTCCGTATGTAGCTATTAATTATGCTTATGTGCGGGTAGCTTAGGACCCAAATCATGAAATACTTGTAATGTTTGTACCCTACTTGTTAATTAAAGTGCCTAAATTATATTGAAACTTGTTAGTTACTTGACCGTTAATAGAAATTATGCTTCCTTGTGCATTGGCCTTGTATTAGCTTCTAAATCGGTTGTTCATAAAGTATCCTCTCTTCTTGAGGAGTGGGCCGAACGCCTCGGCAGTAGATAGTAACATCTATGGTTCGTGTCGCTCGACCCTCGGCAGTGTACATATTAGTCTGGATCGGGCTGTACGACCTTGGCATACATCGTGCGTAATAATATTCGGAGCCTAATTATACTTGATATTATTTTATGGCTTGGGAGGTTGTAATTATTAATGACAGAATTTGACCTGGAATTTATGATTAGTGAAAGGATTATGTATTTACTGCTTGTTATTGAGTTATTATTACTGTTTATATAACCCATGCTTATTTAGAATTTATGTATTTTATTATTAGCCCATAGTAAGTGTCGAAGTTAACCCCTCGTCACTACTTCTTCGAGGTTAGACTAGATACTTACTGGGTACAAGTTGTTTATATACTCACGCTACACTTCTGCACTAATCGTGCAGGATCTGAGGCAGGTGCATATGGCGGTCATATCGGCGCGCACCCCCGTTACCCCGAGGCCTAGTGGTGAGCTGCTTCCTGAGCTGTTCTGCAGCACCTAGAATCTCTCTTTTGTATCTATTTTCTGTCTCCTTTATTTCAGACAGTAATTAGAATTTTGTACATTCTACTAGTTGCTCACACGCTTGTGACACCAGGTCTTGGCACACAAACTAGTAGACTTTATGGTTTTGGAGTATTTATGTCACTATTTTTGCCCACTCAGTTGCCTTCGTTTTATTTTATTAAATTTTCTACTCCTTAATCTCTTAATAAATAGAATTTAATTACTTGGAAACTTATTAAAAGAATAGTCACATGTTTAGTTCACCGTTGGCTTGCCTAGCGGCGATGTTGAGCGCCATCACGGCCTATAGGAGAAACTGGATCGTGACATGGCCCCCCATTATCCCATCTGTTTTTCGCCAATGATTTGGTACTCCTTTCCGAGGCTGATTTTCATAATGCCTCCACTATCATAGATATCTTTAACCAAATCAGTCCCTTTCTGGACAACGCATTAACCTTTCAAAATCCAAAATTATTTATTCCAAAAACGTATCATCCGATCGTGACATGACGAGCACAAAATCGATGTATAAAACTTAGGCTCGCTAGTCAAAGATAGTATAGTATTAAATCGTCTCCATAGGGATTGGCTTAAATAATGTTCTATTAAATCTTCAGCTTAACACCATCCAGAAAAAGAAACCTTTGATTTATGTTATTATCAACTAATAGTAAAAACTAAGATTATCGATTATGGGAAAATAATGGAACTTTACTGACCAAGTAGCAACGATTGAAATTCAAGGTGAGAAGTAAGGGTTGTGACAAGATATGAGATCAACTATTATTTTGGGTAATTCCGTACTAAGTTCACTCTTAACTTCTACTGACTCCTTCGATTTCAACGGATGATTAGGCTAATCTTAGGATTCAAAATCTTCTTTCGAATGAATGAGAGTTCCGTTAACCAACCTAATAACAGGTCCAATGAACATATGCAAAAATACAGTGAATAAATGATCTTTCAAAGAATGTCTCTTGGCTATTCCTCCAAATTGGGTCAATTGATAACTCTCTAAGCTCTTTCGATTACTTATGAGAGGCGTAAAATCAACCCAAACAAGATAACATAATGCGAATTGCAACAACACTTCTCTTTCGATTAAAGTAGAACCACGATTGACCTTGTAATTCAATTAATAACCCATTCAACGAATTCAGGAAACTAACATAGAGTAAACCCCTAACAATAGTCGAATCACAATATCTATCAATAACCCTAAGAAAGAATACGCCATAGTGGAGAAGTTGTTTATCACAAGAGTATTAGAAGAACAAGAAGACATTACAATTCTCAAAATCAAACAACTTCCGTATTGAATGAATTGGATGAAGTATTTTGAGTCTATGTTGTTTCCTTGCCTTCTTCTATCCAAATGTTGCTCCAAAGTCTGAGATACCTTGTTTTGAAATGAGCTAGGCTTCATATAGGTCAAAAAGTGTCTCCTCCGAATTTACCAAAATAGACCTCGGTAAAGTTCCCGGAGGCAGACGTGCGTGGCCGCGCACCTGGAGGTTTGACCGCGCTCATGGCCGCACATGTCTAGCAGAATACTATGTCACTTGCGCAGTCGTGTGCGCACTGGGGATCTCTCATGCGCGGGTGCGCATCTGAGTTTCACTCCTGCTCAACTCTTTTCCCTCCCACTAAGTGCATTATTTGTCCATTGATCCCCGAACACGATCCCGACTTAATCCTTTGGGCTTTTACTCAGACTTCAAAGCTCCAAATAGCTCGAATTATCTCCACAATATCTACATAACTCGGAATCGCTCCTACAGGGCATAAAACATACACTAAGTGCAAAACAATACCAATTCAAGCTCAAACACAAATAAAGTACAGTGAAATAGAGTGCAATAAGCGACTAAAATACGAGATGATAGCCTACCATCAACACCCCACACTTAAACCATTGCTCGTTCTCGAGCAATCAAACTACATTTCATCTAGACACAACCTTTTCTCAACAACTCTCATAAATCATCACCTAAAGAATATTTAAAACAGATTAAGCACAATACCGTAACATCCTCACCTCAAGATTTGACTCAAAAGCACCACGCATTCCTATAACCCACTCACTTACTTTAACACAGAGGTTAACGACATTACCTTTCCTTTGTGAATCAAGTGCCCTCACATAACAATAGAAAGTAGTTCCACACACAATGAAATTTAAGAAAAATTAGGAACTTAAGATAAAAAGAATTCACTCACTCTCTGAAACAACATTCATATGCCACAAAAGACGTACCATATGCTTGTCCGTAGTGTAATACTCTATTAATTGAGCTCATTCAGTCAAGGATCAAGTAGGACTTTAATTGGTTGAAATGTAGGCTGCGGGATGTGTAGGATGCATTTGGATATAAGAGTGACTACACCTCCCTAAGCACTTTAATACATACACATTTCAGAATAAGTTCGAGATTCCTCAAGCAATCCTTGAAGTCATCTCCAAATAGAGTAAAGTCGTCCATGAACACCTTAAGACACTTCCCATTCAAATCTGAAAAGATTGACATCATGCATCGCTGAAATATAGCCGGCGCGTTGCATAATTCGAAAGGCATTATCCGGTATGCATAGATTCTGTAAGGGCAGGTAAAGGTAGTTTTCTCAACATCTTCGGGAGTTATTGGTATTTGATTGTAACATGAATATCCATCTAAGAAGCATTAACATCCATGCCCTGCCACCTTCTCCAACATCTGATCAATGAAAGGAAGAGGGAAGTGATCCTTCCTTGTTGCATCATTTAGCCTTCGGTAGTCTATGCACATGCTCCAACCAGTAACTGTTCTGGTAGGAATTAGTTCGTTGTCCTCATTTTTCACCACCGTCATGCCCTCTTTTTTCGGCACAACCTGTACGAGGCTGATCCATTTGCTGTTAGATATATGAAATATTATACCTTCATCTAGAAGTTTGAGTATCTCTTTCTGCACCACCTCCTTAAGGTTCTTGTTCAATTTGCGCCGGGGCTGCACCACCGATTTGCTCCCTTCTTCCAACAGGATCTTATGCATGCAGATTGTGGGGCTGATCCCCTAAATATCGGCTATACTCCAACCGATTGCCTTTTTATGCTTCTGTAGTAACTCTACAAGCATGTGTTCCTGTTCAATGTCAAATCAACAACAACAATCACGGAAAAAGTATTAGTCTCCAAAAAAGCATATTTTAAATGTGTCGGGAGTACTTTCAATTCCAGCTTCGGCTTGATCATTTCTTTCTCGAATTCTTCTTCACCTACCACCTGGTTCTCATCTTCCAGTGCCTCAACTTCCTTCTTGATCTCAGGATCTTTATCCTCTGTTGTGCTTGACTGACTAATGCATCTCTCTAATGAATCACCTACCAGCTTATCCAACTTGTGTTGTTCATCTAACTCTCCCACCACATCCAGTTTGAGACAAGCATAGGCAGATGCCTCATCACATGGGTATTTCATCATTCTCTTCATTTGAAACACTACTTTTTTGTATCCCACCCCAAGCATGAGTTTCCCTTCATATATATCAAGAGTAGCCCGGCCAGTGGAAATGAATGGTCTTCCCAGGATTAAAGGTACCTGCTTATTCACTTCCATGTCTACTATGATGAAGTCTACTGGGAAGATAAATTTGTTCACCCTCACCATAATGTCCTCAAGTATGCCCTCCGGTATGATCATGGTCTGATCAGCCAGTTGCAAAGACGCCGACACAGATTTGATCACTCCTAATTCTCCTTCCAATTTCTTGAACACCGATAATGGAATCAATTTAATGGATGCACCTGAATCGCACAGAGCCTTGTCAAAATTTTCTCTCCCCAATGAGCAGGGTATAGTGATGCTTCCAAGATCCCCACATTTTTTAGAGATTTTATTTTGTAGAATGGCACTACAGTGGCCATTGAGTTTGACCACTTTCATTTCCTCGAGCTTCCTTTTACTTGAAAGTAGTTTCTTTAAGAATTTTGCATAGGCTGGCATCTGGGTGAGCACCTCGGTGAATGGGATGTTTACATACAGATATTTCAGCATATCCAAGAATTTTACAAAGCATTTGTCTAGTTTCTCCCGCTTCATCTTTTGAGGAAACGGTAACAATAGCATGTGCTTGCTTTCCTCAACTGTGCTGCTTAATTTCTGCTTATCAACCTCCTTGCTACTAATATCCTCCTTAGGCAGAGATTTACCAATTTTCTGTTCTTCTGCTATCTAGTTGAGTTGATCTCCTTCTCAGCCCTTGGTTTTGCAATGGGCTCTGCTAATGTTTTCCCACTCCTGAGAGACACGACCTTGATCGTCTCTTTTGGATTCTTCTCAGTGTCTGCCGGCAAAGTCCTCGGAGCCCTTTCTAATAATAATGATGTGAGCTGCCCCATTTGTCTTTCTAGATTACGGATGGTTATGCCTTGATCTCGGATAGCGGTCCCTTGAGTCTCAAGTTTTTCATCTGATTTATTTATGAATGACTTCTTAGATCTTCTAATCTTGAGTTGTTTGGCTGTGGAGGATGGTATGGTTGTCTCTGCTGGTTTTGGAAGCCATGAGGTCCTTGCACTGGTGCTCTGAGATTTTGCTGCTGCTAAGAATTAAAGCTACCATTTGAAGAACTCCATGATGACCCCGGAAGTCTCTGTCCCATAGAATTGAAATTACCACCTCCTTGGTAGTTGCCTTTGTTAAAATTCCCCAATGCCTTAACTTCTTCTTCTACGGTGAATGTTTGGCACTCATGAGTTGGGTGTCCCAATCCAGAGATGTCACATCCCACCTGTGGTTGATTTTACACCTGAGCTATTATCAATTGCTTGATGTCCTTAGCCAGTGCTGCAATTTGGGCCTGCATTGCTACAGACGATTCTACTTGGTGCACCCCTACTGATCTTCTTCGATCCTCTTGGTCAGTGGACCTGTGTTCTGTGTCTTCAGATAGTTCATTCAGAAATGTGACAATCTCTTCTGGAGTTTTCTTCATCAGAGGACCTACAACCGCACTATTCAGCAATCTTCTTGATGATGGGTTTAACCCGTCCCAGAAGTCTTGGAGTTGCATCCATTGCTCCATTCCGTTATGAGGGCACCTCTACAATAGCTGCTTAAATCTTTCCTATGCCTCGAACACCGTCTCCCCTTCACCTTGGCTGAAATTGTGAATCTCCTTCCTCATTCGTCCAGTCTTAGCAGCAGAGAAATATTTTTCTAAGAACTTGGTAGTCATTTCCTCCCACGTACGGATTGACCCTGTAGGTAAACTTCTCAACCACTGCTTTGCATCATCCTTAAGTGAGAAAGGGAATGCTATAAGGTAGATGGCATCATGTGATGCTCCATTGTAGCGGAATGTGTTCATAATTTTGTCAAAGTCCATCAGATGGTTGTTGGGATCTTCATTGGGTTTGCTTATGAAAATGCAGTTGTTCTGAATGGTCTTGATGACTCCTTGCTTGAGTTCAAAATTGTTGGCATCAATGGGCGGGGGCCTCACACTAGATTGTTGTTGGTTGTATACTGGTCTGGCATAATCTCCTAGAGACCTCCCAGGCATGGGAGCTGCATTTTCAAATTCATCTTCGACCATGGTTCGGTTGAGATTGAACCTTCGATCCTCGTCAACTATTTCATTCGCAGCTCTACGGGCTGCTTCAGCTGCTAACCGTGCATCCTGTTGTTGAGTTGCCTCTCTTGCAGCTAGGTCCATGCCCCTTCCGTCGTTCACCATTGTATTTTGAGTCAAAGTTTGGCTCAATAATGATCCACTCGATTCTTTCTCCCTTCTCAACTGTCGCAGGTGCTTGTCTAGTTCTGGATTGTATGGCTCCAATTCCTTGGAAGAGGATCGAGTCATACACCACTGAATTTAACCTGTTGCCTGCACACAAATAAGAAGAGCGTAAAAAAGGAAAATAAAGTAGAATTGTTCCTGAATTAGCACCGAAATTTTTTTCAAACAATATTGATCGCCAATCTCCAGCAACGACGCCAAAATTTGATGAGAGCAAAACCAGTGTATAAAACTTAGGCTCGCTAGTCAAAGATAGTATAGTATTAAATCATCTCCATAGGGATTGGCTTAAATATTGTTCTATTAAATCTTCAGCTTAACACCATTCAGAAAAATAAACCTTTGATTTATGTTATTATCAACTAATAGTAAAAACTAAGATTATCGATTATGAGAAAATAATGGAACTTTACTGACCAAGTAGCAACGATTGAAATTCAAGGTGAGAAGTAAGGGTTGTGACAAGATATGAGATCAACTATTATTTTGGGTAATTCCGTACTAAGTTCACTCTCAACTTCTACCGACTTCTTCGATTTCAACGGATGATTAGGCTAATCTTAGGATTCAAAATCTTCTTCCGAATTAATGAGAGTTCCGTTAACCAACCTAATAACAGGTCCAATGAACATATGCAAAAATACAGTGAATGAATGATCTTTCGAAGAACGTCTCTCGGCTATTCCTCCAAATTGGGTCAATTGATAACTCTCTAAGCTCTTTCGATTACTTATGAGAGGCGTAAAATCAACCCCAAAAAGATAACACAATACGAATTGCAACAACACTTCTCTTTCGATTAAAGTAGAACCACGATTGACCTTGCAATTCAATTAATAACCCATTCAACAAATTCAGGCAACTAACATAGAGTAAACCCCTAACAATTGTCGAATCACAATATATGTCAATAACCCTAAGAAAGATTACTCCATAGTGGAGAAGTTGTTTATCACAAGAGTATTAGAAGAACAAGAAGACATTACAATTCCCAAAATCAAACAACTTCCGTATTGAATGAATTGGATGAAGTATTTTGAGTCTCCGTTGTTTCCTTTCCTTCTTCTCTCCAAAAGTTGCTCCAAAATCCGAGATACCTTATTTTGAGATGAGCTAGGCTTCATATAGGTCAAAAAGAGTCGCCTCCGAATTTACCAAAATAGGCCTGGGTAAAGTTCCCGGAAGTGGACGTGTGTGGCCGCGCACCTGGAGGTGTGGCCGCTCTCATGGCCGCGCATGTCTGGCAGAATACTATGTCACTTGCGCAGTCGTGTGCGTGCTGGGAGTCTCTCATGCGCATTCGTGCATCTGAGTTTCACTTCTGCTCAACTCTTTTTCCTCCCACTAAGTGCACTATCGTCGATTGATCCCCAAACACGATCCTGACATAAACCCTTGGGCTTTTACTCAGACTTCAAAACTCCAAATAGCTCAAATTAGCTCCGCAATATGTATATAACTCGAAATTATTCCTACAAGGCATAAAACACACACTAAGTTCAAACAATACCAATTCAAGCTCAAACACAAATGAAGTGCAGTGAATTAAAGTGTAATAAGCGACTAAAATACGAGATGATAGCCTACCATCACCTATGCAAAATATTCACCCAAAATACTTAGATTATCAATATATACTAGATCGTATGAACCAACGCCTCTAAGGCTGGAAAACTAATTTTTTTAACCTAGCTGGACGAGTCATCCTTATTCGTTTTGTACTTATTTCCATTCCTATATATGCTATACAAAATAAACTCTTACCACAAGAGACCTTACAACATATTGACCATATTCAACGTAACTTCCTCTGGGCCTCCACTCCTCAAAAACAACGTCTCAATCTGGTCCATTGGGATGTCGTTACCATACAAAGCATTATGGTGGCCTTGGTATTCCTAAACCTTTTGAAAAAAAATATGGCATTGCTAGCTAGTCTAAATTGGCGCTTCCAAACGCATAGTGAAACCCTATGGGACATTGTACTTCGATGCAAATGTGTCTCATCAACTCCTATTAATTACACCTCACAGATTTTTCTCTCCAAACATGTGTCAAAGCTTATCCCTTATGTCATCGAGGGACTAATTGGAAAGTTGCTAATGGCCAGCATATTCAATTATGGACTGATCGTTGGATTACACCATCATACTCCCTATGTGATCTTATCTAAGGACCAATCCCGAAACATGAACTACTACTTCCCCTTTCCCATATCATTTCCCATCACTCATGGAACTTCTCCACCCTCTCATTTGAATTCCCCGATCATATAAAACATTTAATCCTCAACACCTACATTTGCCACCATTTTACTGTTGTTGATACCCTTTATTGTAGTAATAGCCCTAATGGGAATTTTACAACCAAATCAGCCTACTCCTCTCTCATTACACCAATACACAATGTTCCTCCTATTTATCCCCGTCTTAGGATCTGGAACACTCATGCTACACACTAAATCAAGCATTTTTGTGGCTCCTATTATGTGGTAAATTACCAACTTCCTCCTTACTTCAATCTCGTCACATACTCTCTAATACATCTTGTAAAACATGTTCCCACCCATATGAAGACCTTACTCACATTTTTCTTCAATGCCCTCTTGGTTTACAATTATGGCGCCACTTAAACCTCTCACCTCCAACTGATAACTACAGTTCCTGGATACGTACTCTTTGTACCTCCAGATATTTCATCCCTCTAGCACGTAATCTACTTGTTCCCTTATCCACGCTCTCACCTATAGTACTATGGAATATTTGGCTAACTAGTAATCATAATGTCTTCCACAATACCACTCTTAGTGTTTCAATTCAGAACATTATTACTAATGTAACAGAACTTCTATATTTGACTCCTATGCCCCCACAACCTCCACCACACATTACTCTTCTTGTACCTTAGACACCTCCCCATGTTGGCTACTATAAACTTAACATTGTTGGTGCCTTTGATGAATCAACACTCCATGGAGAGGCGGTAGGAGTGTTTCGTGATTCTACTGGTAACTGGATTCACGGCTACTGCAAGAACCTCTATCTCACTGAGGTTTTGCAAGCAGAGTTATTAACTCTACTACATGGACTGCACATCGTTGTCCAAAAATATTTTCAACCGCTTAAAGTGAAAACTGATTCACAAGTATTACTTTAATTCCTTTCTACTGGGAACCTTAAATACTCACATTTACTTACTAATTTTAGGTTGATGCTCTGTGATCTTCAACAGCCTGAGGTCTCCCACACTTTTAGGGAGGGTAACAGCGTGTCAGATGCTTTGGCTACTTATGAAAGAGACATGCCCTATCAACATACCCAATATGTAGTGCATTTTGAAAATCCTACTATGTTTACTTTACTGTGTTTTAATCTAGACCTACAAGGCACTATAACTCTTCATTTAGTACCTTCTACTGTAATAGTTTAGTTTCTGTTTATCAATAAAAGGCTTTTCTTAGCAAAAACAAATATGAGTACCATATGCAAGTGAGTACCAAAAATCCTCGAGTGTTAGGATTTGTGAAATATCTAGGGGTGTCAATGGATATTTAAAAACTGATTAAATCAGTCGAACCGTACCGTACCGAATCAATTTTTATTTTTTTTTAATAAAATCTGTAGACAATTAAAATTTTACTAAATTTAAATCTATAAGAAATTTGAATTTTACCATAAATCAAATATATATTAGTCCAACCAAATATTTTAGGCTAGTATAATTGGGTTATTTATTTAAATCTAATTAAATTTATTGAAATAAAAGCCCAATATTATTGAGCTAACCCATTTAATTGATTTTCTACTAAATGGATCGACCCATATAAAGCCCAAGCCCAGTGGCCCATGGGGATTTTCTTGGAGGCTACTCCACCCCACGCCTATATAAAGGGGTCAAAGGACAAGGCTAAAAGATATGAAGTAAGCAGAAGGAAAGGCTAAAGAAGCTCTGAAGAATAACATCAAGGTCTTCATCCATATCTGCAATCGTTGTCTGTGGTCAAATTCCAAAGTCAAACTTAAATCATAGGCGGGCGGCTTCAAATCTTCTGTTCGTGATAATCCAACACCAAATCCTGGTTCGTGACAACCTTCAAATTATTCACGATGTACTACAAATCTGAAATCCATCAAGTTCAAGATCAAGCTCTTAAGCTCTAGAACTATCGTTCGTGAGGAGAAGAATCAGAGGACTACATCTCTTTAGATTTGAGATATTTTAGAGACTGTAACTCCATAACTTGAAATCGAATATAATATTTGTCGCTATATTTCTTGTCTTGA